GGTTCACTTGAGATTAAAATAAAAGTAGAAATCTTGATATTCAACCTCAGCCATATATGTTTTCATTTGCCGCTCTAACACTCAAGCGTACCGGCAGCAACGGTGTATGCCTAATCATAAATGATTATATGGCAGATTGGTATAATCATATATATTTATACATATATGTCTAATCATAAATGATTATATATATATATATATATATATATATATATATATATATATATATGTTTACAGATTGAGTAATCATATATGATTATAACAGTTGGGGACATAATAGGTGGTGGTGACAGAGGTGGTGGTGGTATAAGTGACGGATATGATAGTTGTCGGGTCGGCTGCTGTCAGAGGTGGTTGTAGTGGTGGTGGCGGTGGCAGTTATGGTGGTGGGGATGGTGGCGGGGAGTAAAGGAACGGGCGGAGCTGTATAATCATTTATGATTACACCAGGTCTGTTGTGCCGGTACGCCGGAGGGTTATAGCGACATATGTGAAATACGTGGTTGAGGTTAAATCTCAATATCTTTATTTTATTTTTAATCTCAACGGAACCTATCTCTCTCTCTCTCTCTCTCTCTCTCTCTTTCTCTCTTTATATATATATATATACATATATATATATATATATATATATATATATATATATATATATATATATATATATATAAATATATATCACTGGTCAAACTTCTTTAGAAAATAAATCTCGACTTAGGCACACTTATAGGATACCAATGTATTAAGGGATAATGACTTAGGAGGGTAATTAAGTTTTCTAGTTTGTCCGTGTTAGGTCATTAATGTTTTTTTTGTACGTATTACACCAATATGGTTGTTATTACCGTTTAGAAATAGTCATTTTTACCGGTTTTTTTCAGTTTAACCGGTAAAAATGACTATTTCTAAACGGTAATAATAATCATATTGGTTTAATAAGCACAAAAAAAAACATTAGTGACCTAATACGGACAAACTGGAAACCTAATTAACCTCGTAAGTCATTAACCCTAATTTTAAAGACATTGAGAATATATGATCATCAATAGTAAACTAGTTCGTTTGGAACTTGTGTCGTCCTATATCGACCAGAAGAAGAACCTGCTACTCCTGTAGTCGTCCCTTCGGGGACATCCGATAAAATTAGAACGATACAGAGAAGATTAGCATGGCCCCTGCACAAGGATGACAAGGACAAATCGAGAAATGGTCCATTTTTTTTAAAACTCTTCGTCTTCTTCTCTAAAACCCTAATTCCCTTTTCAAATGCTAACAGAGTTCAATTGCAATTCATACGTTTCAGTAGATGAACTACTGAAGTCATGATAAAAAAAACATGTGGATTCCATGGTCAAATTGTCTTTGTACATATGTATGTGTTCATGTAAACATTTAAATGACAAAAAAGAAGTTATTGATAAAATGTTGCATATTTATGTAAAGAAGATCATCAATCATATGAGTTTTCGGATTTGGAAATTCTTAAAGGGTTGTATGATAAGTTTAAAAGGAAGCAACTATTTTCAGTCAAACAAGTCAGTCACATTGATTAGTAAGCATGTTTTCTAAATAATTAGGGTTAATGCCTTAAGGGGGGGGGGGGGGTAATTAGGTTTCCAGTTTATTCGTATTAGGTCACTAATTTTTTTTATGCGTATTAGACCAATATGGTTGTTATTACCGTTAAAAAATAGTCATTTTTACCGGTTAAATATGAATAAACTGGTAAAAATGATTATTTGTAAACAGTAATAACAACCATATTAGTCTAATACGCACAAAAAAAAAAAACATTATTTACCTAATACAGACAAACTGAAAACCTAATTACCCTTTTAAATCATTATCCAATGTATTAAATTCGTGCTTAGGTGTTATATATTAGAACTTGCTACAAAAGGTTAATGGTTCAGAACAAAAGGTAAAACGGTGTCATATATTAGAATGTAAGAGCACCCACATTGGTGCTCTTTCAATGAGTTGTTGCAATGCCAACTAAGCATCAATATTTTGCAAAGAAAAAAGGTGGACCATTCAATATTAAATTCATATAAATAGTGGGCCATTTAAATTAAATTTATTAAAATATATAAAATAATTAATTATTATTAAATATGGAGCATTATGTCTTTATAAAACTTGCAAATATAGCAAGAAGTAGATGTATGTGACATCAAGTATTAAACAATCGGCATTGCAAAACAAATTGAAAGGTTGCAATGTCTAAGGAACATTTTAAAATAAATTGCAAGATAACATTATTTTATTAAAAATATTTTTATTTTTATTTTTATTTTTGGAGTTGTCGACTTATACAAAATGTCATATAATTTGTGTAAATATTATGGAGGCCGATTTACATACTAAAATATTGATTAAAAGTAGAGTTGGTGATAATTTTTCTAGATTATGTGCCAATGTAGAACACTTAAACATAAAATATAATCACATCTTTTTAATTTACTCCAATTAATAATAGTCAGGGGCGGACGCAAGATTTCATAGAAAAACATAAAAATTTTAAAAAATTTCGAAAGTTCTTCCACTACGCCTGGAAAAATAAGGGGTTGTTGGTGCCACCGATGACCCCCCTAAATCCGCCCCTGACAACAGTGTTAATCACTTACTTTTACTCGTTGAGCTTAAGAGAAATAAAATACCTTGCAGATTCGATGAAGCCGAAAATGAACACTTTAAAGAAACCCATCGAGCTCTCTTTGAAATTGTAAAACAAAAGTTAAATGTCATCGGTAGTGAAACAAGGAACTTTGATACATGAGTACAAACTTTGTTATTCGTTGAGATTAAGAGAAATTCATGCGTTGTTACGATCAATCAATGTCAATCTTTTTAAACGGTCAATGTTTGAGCCGTTGTAACAAAAAAAAAATTTACTTTTTTAAACTTATATAAATACCAAACAATTTAAAACCACTTTACACCACAACAATTATTTACATCTCTTTACTTTGTCATTTTCTCTCAAAAGTATGAAGCAATATCAAAATACATCTACCATTCCAAACACCCCAAACACTTCAAATGATCAATATCAAGGTTACATACAAATGATAACATCGTCAATCCAACAACAACCACTATTTACCATCATTCCATTTCAAGCAAACTACTTCCAACAACAAAGACTACAACAATTCAATCAACCCCAATTCCAAGGTCTTCAACAATTTCAACCCTAACAATTCCAAACATAATTATCTCAACAATTCCTAACACAACAATCTTAAGTCCCTTTTTTTCAATCCTCACCTAAAAATTTGGACAACGACGACGACGACCAGGTCGAAGAAACACAACCATCTAGGCAAAGAAAATCAAAAGGAAAAGCTACAAATAAAAGAGAACGGGTTGGATTGAAGAAGAGGAGGAAACTTTAGCTAAAGCTTTTGGCTTCGTGTTTTAGATCACTTTCACTCGCTTTTGGGAAGACAAACGGGTCGAACGTACGACGCGGTCAATGGAAAATGACGTGAACTATGAGCAGCATGCACCAACTTTAACGACATATTTGAAAATCTAAAAATTATGCATACAAGTGGTAGCAACGATTTCAATATTTTATCAACTGTTTGCCAACAATTCAAAGTTACCAACGGCGGTAAAGCGTTCGGCCACCAAAAAGTGTGAAAAATTTGTCGTATGGGTCTAAAATGGGTCCTTAACCCGGAGACTTTGCATTCAGAATTGACCATCAACTCCAACAAAATGTCAAGAACTTCCGAGTTGGATATGAGTTTTGATGTCGACCTTAATGACGACTTTGATGGGACTGAAGAGGAGGGTCCACCGGATGTCCAACTTCGTCGACCACCGGGAAGGGATAAAGGGAAAAAAAACGGTGTCTTCAAGTAGAAAAACGAGTAACGAAGACGTACTTGCGGACATAATTGACAAAACTCTAAGTTTTTTACAAAAAAATATGAGTCAACGGAGGAAGCTCGGCGTCGGAAACAAGCACTCACCGATCTTCAAATTTTAAACACGAAGCCGCAACCGGATATCGACCCGGAAAATTTAGCTGCGATTCTGAAAATCTAACAACAAGTTCAAGAAAAGTTTACAACTTAGGTTTTACCGTTTTTAATATTTATGTTTAATTTCAATGAATTTTAGTTATGTAGGTTTTAATTTTTTGGTTTTATGGTTTTTAGTAATCTAGATTTGAAATTTAATGTTTTATGTTTTTTATGTAATGTGAAATATATAAATGTTATTAATTTAGGTTTTTTTTTTTATTTATTTATAAACATTATGTGACAATCCATTAAATTGTATTGAATTTAATGGAGTGTAGAGTTTAATAGGTAAAATTCTATTATGAGTGGAATGTACATGTGCCATTCTATTAAACTCATTTGGGTTCAATACATCGAAGATCTATTAAACTCATTTGGGTTCAATCCATCGAAGATGTCTAATAGGATAGCACCAAGTTTTGTCTAGGCTGGTTATTGTTTGGTGTATCCGGGCTGCTACAAAGTCATTAATCATTAATGAAGACTAACATATACAAGGGAATAAAATATACAAATACCACACTAGATCATATCAAGACTAACAAACTAAGAAAAGATAAATCTACTTGAAAACTTAAATCTACGATTTTAAAGGATCTTTCATGATCTTCTTCATGAACATCTCATACAAATAACCCGTCACCCCTCCGTACCTTTCTTCAATCCCAACTCAAATAACGAAGGTCTAACCCTCATCCTCTACTTCATGCTCTTCATCATTCCACTTTCTGGTTGTTTAATTCATCTGCATTCGCTCCTATTAGTTGATGAACGCATTTCCTTTTTCATATACATCTTAGTGATCTTTTCCATTTTCATGTTTTTCGCTCCATTTCAGTTCCCTTAATCTGTTTTCTTTCACTGTTACTTTTCATACAAGCATTTCAAAACCCTATTCACTAGGTTCACGTTTTCATCACTTCGTAATGTTTTTGCTCTGATTGTGTTCCTTACAGATCGCTGAAGATGACGAGAAGATCTGCAAATTCCGGTCCATCTGCTCCAACAGAGATGGCAGGCTTCGCTTACCCCGGACCTATATCTATTATGAAAACAACAGTGGGCCAAGGCAGTTACGAGAACAAATCACAAGTAAGTTATAGAGATAAGCACACCGGGTCCTATGGACGAGCAACGACAATACAGAAGGTGTCCGCCGGAAAATTCCAGTGGCAGAACGGAAGGAGTGGCACCATGAATGAATATAAGGAAACCTCTACTGTCAGAATCGGAGACCAGAGTGGCTACACAGAGGTTTACAATGAGCAGAGGGTTCTCAATGTGAGTTTTAACAATAACAATGACATCATTATCAAGAACGTCATTGCCTACGACAATCGCCATGGTGGTAAGAAGGGTGGGTATGGGTACGCGACTATGGACATTGTGATCACAGTTATGATTATGATTATTAGTTGTGTGTTTATCGTATGGTTTATCGGCGTAATGGATATCTTAGTGATAAACTGATTTTAGAATAAAAGTTTCTGCAAATTTTTATCTGTTAGAACTTAGAATCATCATCATCTGCTGTTGTTTGTTTTGGCAATGATCACAGTTTGTTTTTTTGATTTTTGCTTAGGGAGTGATAGCGTGTTTATTTGCTGCTATATCATTTTTTTTGAAAGCCAATTAATGATAGTATGATGTTAGAGAGTGATGTTGTGTTTAGCATGTTATATTATTATGTTTTTTATAAATCATTACTAATTTTGCTTATTTTTTAACAGCTACTAGTTCAAATCACAAACATTTTAATATTAAAATACTTGACTTACAAAACACTAAGTGAAAGACATTTTTTATAAAATTATGGAAGTTTTGAGACATGTAATGAAATTTGGGTGTATGTATGTTAAAATGTGAAGATTTAAGTGTGTATTCTAGTGGTTGGAAAGCAGTTTGACAATACAAATACACATAGTTTTAAAAAAAAAGTTAAAATTGTAGAAAAATGGTTGGAATTTGGTTTGAACCGGATAGAAATATAATCAAAAGGTGAAAATGGACCGCCATCATTATGACATCTCTTATTTTTCAGAAATTAAAAAAAAAAATTCTTTACATTTTATATAAAACAAAGAAACCTTAGTGCTTATGGAAAAATGATGAAAAAAAATAATTATAATAAATTTAAAAAAAAAAAAAAAAACAAAAAAACTAAACAAGAGAGAACAAATATATATACCATATACTCATCATGAATCAGGTAACTCTAGCCCTAATTTATGAAATACCTAGTCTACCATCTAGCATGCAGCTCTAATATCTCATAAATATTTCATAATGCAAACAATTAATGGTATTTTGGGAAATCACCGTTCGAGCTCTGAATGCTTGCACACACTGCGCCGTCTCGTTTTCTCTTTAAACTCTTTCTCGTTGTAGAAAAATCATTTTTTTTTAAAATTTTTTTCTCAAATCCTCACTTTGAGTCCAGACATACTCGATAGTACATCTGAATCCCTCAAACCAAGATTCTGATACTAACTTGTAACAACATAAATTTTCAAACAAAATTTTCATTTTAAAAATCATATAGTTCTCATAAACACATTTCACTTACAAACTGACAATTTATTAAAAACACATGTTCATAAATTGTTTAATCACAATCTAGGATCCTCAAAACATAACTCCGTCTAGTGTGTATAATCAAGTTGGCGCATTCCTGTGATCCTGAAAAGTACCTGAAACACATATCACACAACACGGTAAGCACGAAGCTTAATGAGTTCCCCCAAAATACCACATACACAAATAGTAAGCTTCTTATGGCTATAGCTCGGCATGGACCCTCTGGTCATGCGTCTCGGTGAGCACCCTCCGGTCTCATGGCTCGGTGTGGACCCTCCGGTCCTGTATCTCAGTGAGGACCCACCGGTCTCACAGCTTTGGTTGGACCCTACAGTCTGATCTCGAAATGCATAGAATAATATAGCATATATTACAAAGACAAAATGCATAATATCAGATAACTCGAATAAGACCCTCCGGTCACTCAGCAGTACAACTCAGGTATGTATAATGAGAAGACTCACCTTGCTGAATAAGCAATGTATCCCACACTCGAGCTGCTGGTCTAATCCCCGCCCCTCCATGGCCTCCAAAATCTCTAATTGACCAAAACCCTAAAGTCAATGGAAGTCAACAGTCAAAACAGAACCAACTCTAAAAGTCAACAGAGGTCAACACTCAAGTCAACAGTCCATGTTGACTCAACTCACCGAGTACAACTCATGAACTCGTCGAGTCCATCGGAACTCAGTAATTCATGAAAACCCTAGTTTACTCGCTGAGTTTCTAGCCAACTTGTTAGGTCCATGCATCGTCCGAAAGATCAGGAAAACCCTACCTACTCGTCAATATGTCTCATCAACTCGTCGAATCCACTCTGAATACAAAGACAGGTAAAACCCTCTCAACTCGTCGAGTTGTCTCATTAACCCGCCGAGTCTGTCACACGTCCAAACCATCGGGTAAACCCTAACTGAATCGTCGAGTTGGCTCAACAACTCATCGAGTCTCTTCAGTCCATTTCCTCATTTAGATGATTTTGGACAAAAATATGGTCTCATACTCTAGATCTAGCCTCCTAAGGCTGAATCATCATGTAAAGTTGCAAGCTTTACATTCATGCATGGCATATAGAGCTCAAAATGCCGAAATAAGCTCCATGAAGGTATTTATGCTTGAAGACTTGCCCAAAGCTTGATAAAGCTCGAATCTTTGGGCTCATGGGGACTCCTATAACTCAGATCTATAGTCTCAACTTCCATGACCAGTTCAACAACTCAAAACCAAAAGTTGGATGAGATAAAGCCCTAAAAACTCTCTAGAAAGAGATCTAACAAAAATAGTGAGCGAGGTGGTGACTTTGTACCTCTAAATGGTTGCTACAACAGTGCAGGTGTTGGATCCAAGGTCTCCCTCTTATTCCAAGCTTCTTGCTCCTCAAGATCTTCAAAGATTCAACCAAGATACACCCTCTTAGCCTCTCTCTCTCTCTCTCTCTCATACACACACACACAAGTAACTCTAGCTCTTTTAGGGTTTCTCTCAATGTGTCTAAATGATCAGGGAGGCGGAAATGAGGGATTAAGGGCCTTTAAATAGGATGGAAGCCCTAAAATTAGGGTTTTCTCACTATAGACTCAATTTGTCGAGTCCAACCCTTTGACTCAACGAGTAGGCTTCATAATTCTCTCTCTTATCATCGTTTAAATCTCTAATTTTCGTAGTCAAAGCATGTATGTGTAAGATTTAGTAGTACGTCACTACTTTCGAAAGATGTCATTTGGGTATTGATCAGTTATATCCTCAATAGTGATGATTTATAGCTTCTAGTGAAGTAGCTAGCGGATAGTAGGGAAGTGAGTTGGAGATGTTTACCCTGAACGCAAGTTCTCGGGATGCAGTCACTAAAGCAAATATAGTGAAGGATTGAAGAGTGTTCGGTTAGTTAAGCAGAAATGGTTTGGATATGGTAAGGGTTAGTTGGAGCGCCAACAGAGGTAAACATGGGCGCGCAGCGGATTGCCCCTTTTCATGGAAGGAAGGTTGGGGAATCCTTTCGACCAGTGAGCAGTAAGGAGTTAGCCGGATCCAAGTGGGGGAGAACCCTCTGAGTATACAAGGTTAAGAGTACGCAGACCCAGAATAAGTATGCGACCTCTGAGAAGAAAAGATAGTAGCAGAACAATGGATGGATTGAGGAGTTCAGGTTGGGAGTTTGTGGAACTTCCCACCAATTAGTTCATGTGATTGAGATGGTTAGTAGCTGGTTGGGAATCCAGGGTGGAGGACCGCCTGTAAGACTCTAGTGAGTCGGAATGAGGATCTTGAGAATGGTTAGCAAGAGATGCTTTCGTGTTAGTAGTCAGTGGCAGAGACAGCCAGCAGAGCATGGTGGAGCGGTGAGAAAGCCGCAACATTTTTCAGCAACAGCCAGTTAGTAAGGAAAGTGTTGTAAGTCTACGGGGGTAGCTGTAGCATTCACTAGCAGTCAGATAGTAGTAAAGTGTTGTAAGTCTGTGGGGGTAGCCGTAGCATTCACTAGCAGTCAGATAGTAGTAGAGTGTTGTAAGTCTGCGGGGGTAGCCGTAGAATTCACTAGCAGTCAGATAGTAGTCGAGTGTTGTAAGTCTGCGGGGGTAGCCGTAACATTCACTAGCAGCAATATAGTATTAGAGAGTTGTAAGTCTGCGGGTGTAGCTGTAGCATTTATCAGGCTGGTAGGCAGCATGAGCGTGTTGTTTAGTTGCAGGGGAAACATTAGTACCCACCAGTTCGGGTGTAGCAGTGAGGATATAAGAATCCACGGGTTAGATTTCGGATTTCCAAAATGGTCCAGTTATGGTTAAGTCGGCGATTTATCAGTGGATCGTCACCATAGTTATGAGATCAGGGAAGCAGTGGACCGCTTGGGTTCATGTATGTTAAGGGCTACCGTTAGTCTGGGAGCCATCATTTTTAGTCTTGGATTTGATGGTGTCAGGATTTGACGTACGGACCCGGTCAGTTGGATCGGGAGGTTGTTAGGGTCACAATGTCAGGATGACTAGTGGAAACTAATTCCAGAGAAAGATTGCGTTCAGAAGTCGTGGGAACGACTAAGTAAGGAGTCCTTGGGATCCATAGTAGAGTTGGAACTTGGTGTTTCAGATAACCGACGAATGATTGGAGACCAGGAAGGACTTGAGATATTTTGGGAAGCAGCCATATATAAGTTCAGCGTTTCAGGCAGTTCTGTGTTTCAGCCAATTTAGTGTTTCGGCCAGTTCAGTGTTTCAGTTAGTTTAGTGTTTCAGGCAGTTCAGTATTGCAGGCAATTCATTGTTCGGATAGTTTTAGTGTTATGGACATTATTAGTATGTGTGTTGGAATGCAAGTGCTGACGGTATAGTTGGTTGATTTGGAAATGGCAAGCCCCTCCCAACAGGATCAGTTGAGTCTTCTGCCAAGTATAAGTGACTTGCAAGGATAATTAGGCAGGTAGCCTTTCTTTCAGGATGGAAAGCTCGAGTTAGTGGAAGTTGAGTAGTCAGATGGGAGATAAGCAGGCTGGTTACAGCAGCATCGATTCAGTATAAGCAGCAGAGTGGATAGAACAGTTATAGATAGTTGAAGTATCTTTAGTAGTCATTAGAAGCGACTAGGAGGTTACGATGGGTTGTAGTGACCGGAGGGAGTCCGGTAACCCAGATATCGGCAGATTAGTTGGACCAGGGTGGTCTCAGTGCATCCGGTAGGCGGATGAGGGGCAACAAAATTTTCAGTCATAGGTAATAACGATAAGGGATGTATGGTAAGAGGCAACAAGTTGATAGAGGGTGCTACGCCTCTCACAACATGTTTGGATAATCTCAGAGGGGAGGGTTTGACCTTGTTGCACAGCTCTCATATGAGTCTTAACCGTCGCAGAGATGAATCTTTCACTCGAAGGATTATCTGATCCATTCGCTGGGACG